AAATCTTATTAAATAAAAAAACATGAAATAGTATTAAATGACCTAACTAAACAGTGCAAAGATTAACCAACAGCAAACAAAGTTAGTCTTGTGGATTATTTGGCCAGAGGTGATTTATTGCATTCTTTTCATTACTGTTTATTCAGAAAACATAAGCATCATACACATAATGACTGCAGATCAACTTCCATACATCTGCTTAGAAATCATATAAAACTGACAATCCTCATAACTGATCAGATCTTCCTCATAATCATATTTAGACATTTTCTTCAGTATCAAACAGAACATCAGTTACAGTGCAAACAGAAACTGGTAGTAGCAAGTAGCACGACCTTTCTTGGTGCAGATTCTGCAACGGGTGTGGTAAGGACCCAGAAGCAGTACGACAGACACACGGAATAGTTGAAACGAAACAGGCAAACAGTCTTGGATCTGCACACGTGGAGAAATCCACTCGGTGGAACGCCAAGCCGTCAGGGGAGAAGGCAGATAGAAACCAGAGGAAGCAGAGGCAAGAAGCTCGTGGTCGGGGACAGAAGGCCGAGTCGTTTGCAGAGGCAAGGAGGAGAAGTCCAAACAGGCAGGGTCGGCAATGGGAAACCAGTCGGAGGGTAAATGCGGGAAAGTCTGCCATAATGCGGACAACGATCTGGCAGTGAGTGTGTGTGAGAGACTGGGGTCTAAAGAGTAGGTGCCACAGAGTGAGCAGGTGAGAGTGAATGAGCTGAGGAGGTGGGTGTGACTAACAGGTGCACTGATAGAGCTGATTAGGTGAGTGAGAGATAGAGTGACAGGAGAGAAGGGGCAGAGCTGTGACAAATTCACCAAAATGCCAACAAACAGAAGACTCATCAGACTGAATTGCCATTTTGTGTTTGCTTCATTTATTCAGCCTGACACTGTTCATGTTGGCACATTTCTTGTTGTGGAAAAGTGTTATTTTGTTGGGTTTTGCCCAAACCAATCAGTAGTGAGTGACACATCCGATCTGCACTAGCGGATGCGGGGGATAACTTCCCGTTTTTTTCACTTTGATCCAATAAATATGTCCGTTTAAGAGTTAGTATGGATGTGAGTCAACAGCTGTGTCGATCTCATGCAATCTTTTTGTCATTTTCTGGTGCATATTTAATGCATGTGTAGAGAAGACGTCCCATTCTTAATCCCGCCTTCTTCTACTTCTCTGGAGAACGAACAACACAGACCAACCTGTTTTCCAAGACCTTCACCTACTGTCTGTGGCCAATCAGGGAGGATCTCTGGAATGAGTGCCACTTTAACCAAGGTGGCATCAGTCTCCCCTCATTAGAAGCCAATTGGACTTTACAGAAAGATATTAATCAAATGTACCCTCTCAAGAGGCATAAAACATACATATTGTTGGTGACTTTGAGAAACAGGTTCCCCTTCTTTGGAACAGACAATCATTACAGCTACAACAAACAGGACTTTAGCCCCAGAGACCTGTGTTCGTGTCCCGAAGTGTTTTACTCCATTTATGTATTTTAAGTCCAACCATTATGTTTTTTTCCTAAACCTAACAAAGTGGTTTTGTTATTCTGGAATTTAGAATATACAGTATATGGCAGAGACATGTGACCAATGAGCATGTAAATGAAAGCAATCATACAGTCAAATCAGTACAATTGCTGACTGTCAGTGATGATCAGCTCATAAACCTTTTAATTCAACACCACTAAGGTTCGAGAGAGGCAGGGATAGGAGCACCAAAGGAGTGATGGTTTGATAAGGGGTGAAGGAAAGGAAATAAAATCCATCAATCAAAGATAGATCTGTTAAGATCGGGGACCGTCACTGGAACGAAGGAAGGAAGAGGGAGGAGAACTCTTGAACGGTTTCTGAGGTTAGAACTGAAGGTACAACCAGACCCCTCCCTCTTCTTACGGGTGGAACCATCGTCCTGTCCAAATGTAGTTTGCTGCTTGCCTCCATGACTGTTTGGGTTTTAGGTTCATGGGTGAGAACAGAAGCCAGATCTCCGGTGTGAATAATTATCACAGCGATATTCAAAAGTCTCTGATTTCGACTGCCTGAACGGCTCTACAGCTCTCCACATTCAGAGTGGCTCCATCCTGATGGAGGCAGCGCTTAAGAAAGGGGAAGGAAGGGAGGGTAAGAAGGGAGAAATAACAATAAACCCTGGAAAGAACTCAACAGTTGAGGTAACTGGTCCAACTGTTCCGGTATTACGTCAAGAAGGGAAGGTGAAGAATCAAGGTGAAGTGTACAAAGACCGGAAATGTCCCTCGTCTCATCCCATAAATGTAACACAAAAACATTGTGATGGTGCACACCCTTTGAACCTATGCACCGAGTGCTTAGAATCTGATGCACCGTAATATTTATGATGTGTAGAAGCAGGGAGGGAGGTTATATTTTTAGCTGTGATATATTTACACAGGGATGACTCGGGCAGCGTGTGTGTGTCTGAATCTGTATTGTATCTGTGTGTAGGAGGAAATCATGCGTGCCCTGCTGACTTCTTTTTGGGCGACACAGGAAGTGGTGATGTAATAGTATACAATTCTAAAGCTTTTTTCTCACACTCGCTGTCTCCTGCTCCGTGTCTCTCTCTCTCACACACACACTGATGTATTTGCCCCCCCGGGCCACCGTGACACTGCGAGTCCTACCATCATGTGAGCGCAGTGGTTTACGGTCGCGGTCTTTGAGCTCTCTGGGCTGAGACAAATAAACTCTCACAGACATATTTATGGAGCGTGGAGCTCGCAAGCTTACGTCCTTAAAAACTTATTTCAGGAGAATTTACAAAGCAGATCTTTGACCTCGGACAGACAGGCCCTGTCTTTGTAAGATCGTTTCCCCAATATTAACCACACAGACCTATAAAGATCCATCAAAGAAAAGATTCACATTTTTGAATAACCGTATTTGTGTTGTGCACCAGAGATGACATTCATGACATGCTCTGTATTTATGATAGGACTTCGACAACATCTTCTTTGATCCGTCGTTCTAAGAAAATCAAAGGTTTTCTGGAGGTTGTCAAATCTATCTACTGCAGCTCTTTGTATAGGAATTTAACACTGAGTGATTCAAATTGAATTTGTAAGTTTAGTTTCTCCTGATTCTTCACAAAGGTCCTCAGCATGTGTCTGAGTAGTCAAAAGAATCCGGGCGAGTGTTAAAATGTTGAGCGTATCCAGTGGCTTTATGAATGTACTTCATTACGTATTACGGAGACCATGAAGAGGGACTGGAGGACAATATTGATACACACAAAGTGAGTACGTTTCCAGCCTAATCTCTGCACAGGCATTCAGATACTGGACATCCACAGTACTGCTGCATTTACACTCCCTCAAATGTTAGCGGGTGACTCGGTTTAGTGAAAGTGAAATGCTTCAGGTAGTCATCCATTTAAAGTACTCTACCTCGCTGTGTGTGTGTGTGTGTGTGTGTGTGGGGAGAACCAGAAGCAATCACACTCAATCATCACTTGGTCACTTGCCACCAGGTTCTTTTACTGGATTGAAATGCACAAAATATGCTAATAAGATGCAGGGCTGCTCATTTGTGTGTGTGTGTGTGTGTGAGGAGAAGGGCGTAGGGTACTTCAAACGGCCTGCAAAGGGGAGGGAGCAGGCTTAATATGTGTGTGTGTGTGTGTGTGTGGATGGTGGAGGGGTAGTTTTTGGTACCAAGGGGAAATAGTACTGTGATTTCAGACCAAATTAAGCCACATCAAACAGGCCAGATCAAAGAGTATACAGCCCTCACTGTCTGTGCCAGTCTGACATCACGACAGGACGCCCCGGCACACACACACACACGCACAAACACACACACAAACACATTTCCTTCCTACTCTCCTCCTTCACTTTCATTTTTCATTATTCTCTACATTTCCTTAAGTTTCTTTTTACATCTTGCCAGGTTTCTCGTATCTTTCGGTTCCTGTAAGGATACTTCATATAACCCCCCCCCCCCATGCACACAATGCACAGGCATTTAACAGGGTTGTAGGTTAACCTGGATCAAGTATAATGTGTGCTGAGGCTGAGGGGTGTGTGTGTGTGATAGAGCAGTCATCCAGTCTCCGGGAGGGCTTGGAGGGTGGGGGGGAGCAGCATCTATTAGAGACGGCTTCAGCTTTGAATTGAGTTAGCGGTGCCGGCTGCTGTAGTCGAACCCTTTGATGCTGCCTGATGCCAATGTGGCTGTCAAGTGATCCGTATATATATGTGTGTGTGTGTTTTAGTAGACAGATGAGATGGCTGCATGGGGAGGAGACGAGGAGTTGCTACTGTTTTTTTGGGGATGAAGAAAAAGTGTGGAGAGGGGGTGAAACCAGGGGGAGAGTAGGGTAGGGGTGTGTGTGTGTGTAGAAAGAGATTAAGGAATTTGATCGACGACAGAAGCTAATGTTAAAGAGATATGATATAAACCTGCAGAGGTTCAGGAGGAGAACAAAGAGTGTGTGATTCGGTTATTAGCATAAATGTAAAATTCATAAGTGTGTTTTCATGAGTGCATAAAGACCTGAAAACAAAGAATCACTGTGTTTTCGTGACCTTAGAATAAGCCCTTTATATCTAAATAGAGAGAGAACGTAATGTTGCACCGCCATATTCCTATGGTAGCCCAGAACGGACAGACCAAATAGTGGCTCTAGAGAGATACATTTGCGCTTTTTATGTTACCTGAAGGCCACCAACACGCTTGGAAAGGGAGCGGTGAGCAGAGGGGCTTTCATTTGGATGCAATCTACAATCTCAGCACTAGAGGCCACTACATCTTTTAATTAAGTACAGTACTTGAGTAAATGTAAATTTCCACTAATAAATGTCTTAATGAAATCCAATCCAGTGTCATTTCCCATGTATTCACTTTCTAAGTATCTCTCTCTCTCTCTCTCTCTCTCTCTCTCTCTCTCTCTCTCTCTCTTTCCTGGCATCCACTATGTGTGTGAGATCTGTCAATATTAATGTCTATTGTTGTCTGTGTGTTGCCAGTGCTCCTATCCTGTGTGGGAGGACTTCACCGCCAAGGCCACCAAGCTGCATTCCCAGCTCCGGTAAGTTTCTTTGACAACAAAAAAATATATAACATTAACTACAAATTAATTAATTAACAAAACACCTTTTTCACTATTGATCAAAAAATAACCAAAGAATATTTGAAGCTGCATTGAATTAAATAATTTGGGGATAAGAAGGTCAGACTATTTATAATATGGTTCTCTTGGCTGATACTAATACTCATATGTTTTTGTGAGAAGTAGTCATTCATTGAATTGTCAAGAATTCTGTGATTACCTGGTTCTGTAAAAACAACATTGAGACCTCCATATGACTGTAAATGCAGTCATTGTATGGGTTGTTTCCCTTGAATTGTATCAAAATGCTGGGATACATGCCTGCTTTCAATTCAACCTTATTTACAGAAACAATAAATGCAAAAAAGAGTTTCAACATAAAATAAACAAAGAAAATTCTGTTATGTTTTTAATGTTTCTCCTGTAGGTGTGCTGTGGTTACAGAGGTAGAGAACTACTGGATGCAACACTAAATAGTTCAAATCCACTATTTTAAAATGGATTGACCAAATCAAACATGCCATAGCTACATTATCAATAAAAAAAACAGACTATTATATGCAAGTTATAATTCTAATACCATTTTATCTGAAAGTAATTAGTGTTTTCTTTTCATCTAGAACCACTGTTCTGGCTGCTGTGGCTTTTCTGGATGCCTTTCAGAAGGTGGCAGACATGGCTACCAACACCAGAGGTAGGATAACAGCTGTGGTGTGTGTGTGTGTGTGTGTGTGTGTGTGTGTGTGTGTGTGTGTGTGTGTGTGTGCGTGTGTGTGTGCATGCTGGTTTGTGTCCCTTTGCCAATGCTGTGTTGTGCTGTGCTCCTCTGAATCGCCCTTATCATGGAAGTGCTATTAGAAATCTCATTATGTTGTCGAGATTTTATCAACCAGCCTGCAAAGTTCTCCTTATACTGATGAAAGTATTTCCAACAGCCTGAAGGTAAGCTTTGTCCCAAACTTCAAAGCAGTTGAACAGCATTGTTTACAGAGACGAAAATAATTAAAAATGAAGTAAGTATAACGGAGACGGCAATAAAAGCTATTTGTGTAGCAGGATGGATTTTGTCAGTTTTCCATTCCAGTGTGTAGCAAATAACATGTTTTTGGGCATAGATTGTGTATAAGTCTTGGAAGTAGTCACTGTTTCGTCACCCGTTGGTTCGTGGACTGCCGTTTTGAAGCCTCGTGTTCTGCAATTTGGTAGTCGCCATTTGTTTTTGTTGCAACCAGAAATGACACAAGAGGGTGTAACTTAGTACAACTAAACACTGAACAAGCCAATTTTAGGGGACACAAATGTGTCAATTTACTTCCATGAACTGAAAACACACAGTGAAAGGACCAGCAGCCCTTTCACTGTGTGTTTTTAGTTTCAGTTGAAAGACGAAAACACTGTAAACTCCCAGACAGGACAGCGCTGTGGTAGTAATCACAAGGTAGCCACGCCCCCTGAATCATACTCCGCTTTATGGTCTGTGTGACTCTAAATGGATCAACATGTACTAAATGAACATCATGCTGTATTGAAGAAGACTTGAAACTAGAGACTGAGACCATCAACTCATGTTTACAATGTTTACTGAGGGAATAAATCAAGTGAGAAGTAGAGTAATTTAGTAATTTTCTCATTGACGTCTATACAATCAGAGGAGTCGCCCCCTGAAAGACAGCAGGTTTCAGGCACCTCCGCATATGCTTCGCTTTTCAGACCCGGATATTGCCGCCTGTTTTTTTGAGGCAGCTACCAGTGTTTTTGGGTAGAAGCTGCTGTTTGTCTTTCATATCTTAAAAATTGACAATGTGTGAAGCATGAAAATCCATCAGAGTTTTTGTCTTGCTTCTGTGGTTTTAACCTGTGATGCCAGTTGATGTTTTTGAACAATCATAGTTTATTTCTCACTACCTGTCGAGCTAACTTTGATTCAAGTCCCATGTCTCCTGTTGGCTAGCCAGACCCATGGCATGTGATAAAAAGTGTTGAAAATGTACATTTACCTCATGTTTTGTCATAGCAAATTACGTCATTTCTAAATACTGATACTGATGTGTTTTCTACCATGCTGCTGGCCGCACATCCTGAATTATTTGAAAATCTTAATGCAAACTGTGCTACACTCAGTCAAAAAAAACCACTGAACTTCTTAGAATTATGGTCAATGGATTCTATTTGTGTTTTTTGGCTCGACATGCTCGATATTCCCTGCGTAGGCTTCGAGCTGGCCGCTAGTTTTAATAGTGTGGGCTGAGAGCTGAGAGGGTCAGACAAACACTCGCCGCCCACTGCAAGCCATCTGAATACTATAGCAGCACTGAGGTAAGAGAGGGAAATGAGGAAGACTACTGTGGCTGTAACACAGGGACTTTCTCCTCCTGTTGGTTGTTATTAGGTGCAGCTGTCAGACAGTCAATGTGATGCTGATGTGTGTGTGTGTGTGTGTGCGCGGCCCCAGGTGGGACCCCACAGAGGAGGATACAGGAAGAGGCTCGTGCTGCTTTTACAGGCCAGACAGGAAATCACCAAGCTCAGTCAGCTCATTACACTGCAACATTACTACCACCACCACCACCACACGCGCACAGAGAGGCAAGAATATAACATCAACGACGACGTTGGCACGGAGATGCAGGCAGAGATGCATCAGAGGCTCTTTGTACTTGCTGTACTGATGAGTCAGTCCTGCTGGAGTCCATTTGTCACATTGCTGTACAATCGCTGCTCTTTCTCAGTGTGTGATGTTCCCTAATAGATTCGTTAAATGGATGGAGGAAGAAGACGGCGCCAATAATGACGCTCTCTGTCTTCCTGCCATTCACTGTATCAATCTGCCGCTTATTACGGCGTGTGTGAATGTGTGTGAATCAAGCCCAAAGGGTACTGATGATCCTGTGCTGTGCTCTTGTACCGACTCTCCCGTTTAAAAGACTGCGTTGGCTGCGTTTCCATTCAACGTGTCAATTTTATTATATATGAGGAATACTGCGGGGAGTTATGGTTTGCTCCCGTAGTTGTGCCTACGGTGTAGAAATGTGATAGACTCTGAATTGTAAGTCGCTTTGGATAAAAGCGTCTGCTAAATGACTGTAATGTAATGTAATGTAATGGTGTCCAGAATTTTACAGTCCCCTCCACAGGAAATGTGTAGCTCTTAATTATATTAATATTGAATCAGGTTGAATATTCCAATATATATATTGTTTAGATAGTTGACAAACTAATTTTCACTCAAATATGTGCCATATTTGGAATTCTTTTTTTTTTTTTAAGGAAGTTAACTTTCATGGTCTTTTGGTTTCACAATACAGATGGCAAAATGGGTTGGTCCACTAAGGTTGGTCCAATATGGTTTGGTCCATATTGTATTGCCATGAAATTGGGTACAGCCATGCATGGTCCCCCGAGGATGAATCCTACTTCCTTTGGTGATCCCCGACTTCTCCTGAAGCCCCACCATGAAGTTGACTTTTGTTATTTTGTGTGAAATTTATCAACAACCAGGGGTTGGATATCAATGAAATTCACAATGTTTAACTTAGGATGAATTGTAATAACTTGTATGATCTCTTAACTTTCTTTCTACTGCCATCATGAGGTCCAGTTCTGTTTGCTCAGTACTTTGGTTTATGACCAAATACCTGAAACACAGAAGACATTCCCATGAGCCTCAGCTGTACTTCTTAAAATTAGCTAATTAGCAAATGTTAGCATGCTAACATGCCAAACAAAGATAATGAACTAAATATATCTACTTTAGCATGCTAGCATTATTATTGTGAGCATGTTAGCGTGTTGACATTAGCATTTAGCTTCAAAGCGCTGATGTGCTTACTGGAAGTACAGCCTCAGTGAGCCGCTAGCATCCAGAAGACTCTTATGCTGCGTTCCAGACAACTCAAAGATCTGAACTTTCTCTGTTCAAATTTTTAACATTCCAGTTGGATGAAGCAACAAACTGATGTCTCTTTGGCAAATATACACACAATATAACTACAGTGCAACCTTCACATTTAATCTTTGCTTTTTTAACGTTTTTTTGAAAAACCTTTGCGCAGAGAAGATAACTGTCAGAGATTGTTTAAGGTAACCAGCTACCTAATAATTTGGTGACATATTTTGACATCAATATACATGAAGAACAGGTGATAGTATGCATTATTTTTATTAAATGCAGGTTAAATATACAGTTGACGTTTACTTTTAGTTAATGGTTTAGGAGCCGCCATTGTCGTCTGGCGCACACCTAAGCCACGTCCCCATAGCTGCCAGTAGATCCTCACTGAATGCAGATTAGTTTGTTCTTGAGCTTACCGGAGACAAACGCATCACTTGTAGCCTGTCAAGATAGATTTGTCGAGACATCCCGGGAATCCAACTGCGGCGCATTTTCCTTTTAACCACCTTCCCAGGGGTCAGATGTGTTGTGCACAGTGGATTTTGGATAATAATGCAAGAGAAGAATGTAGGGAATAGATGACAGAAAACCCTGGACCGTGCAATACTCTGTTATACTATTTTCGGTATGATATATAAAAAAGTGGCAGTACACTTAGTGAACAAAGTTGTATAGTCTATACATACTGTGTCAGGTGGCCAATGGAAATAAGTCCCTTAAAAGAGCAACTTGTGGTTTTTATCCCGCTGGATCACGATGTCTTGTTTTCTGCTTTAGGCACCAGATATATTCAGCTGTCCATCTCAAGCTGAAAATGTTAAAAAAAAGGCAGCATGGAGGGTGAGAGAAACAGTTTTTCTTGTGCTTGTGACAGTGTGAGTGTGTGTGTGTTTTAAATCAAGCAAGAGTAAATGTGCAAGTGTTTGTGAATTCCCTGGTGAGCGGTGAATTTGAGTGCACTTTTAGATGTCTTCTCCACTCCCCTCTTATAGCCCAAACATTCACTGTCCCCAGGGCCAACCGGCCGTATGTGTGTGTGTGTGTGTGTATGTGACAGCATACCACAGCAAAATGGAAGCACATAAACAAACACAACACGTCTGCTGCCCTGATGTGGGTAGATGGAGGCCCTGTGTGTGTGTGTGTGTGTGTGTGTGTGGTGGTGTTTCCCACGTAGACCTGTCCATTTAGCACTGTTTAACTCCTCTCCATCCTTGCTTAGTGACATCAGGCATTGAGATACAGCATTGTTTGTTCCTTCTATCTTTCATTTTAAAGTGATTTCTTCTCACTTTCCTTTTATGCTGGAGACAGTTTGAGAACTTTTTGCTAAAAAAGCTAAAACCACATGAAAGAGAGCTTGTCCAAATTGGGCTGCTGTGTACAGTTGCAGCAGCCGAGATTTATCGGCCTCACTGGCCTTTTTTTTCTCCGACGATTCATGATTGAGTTCCGACCACAGACTCTGAATTGTGTTTCTGTTCAGATGATCTTATGTTCATCTGAAACGGGCACATTCATAATGGAAACAGAGACATGTTTGGTTGTAAGTTTGTTTGACTGTTTGAGATAACAGTGTGAGAGCTTGTTCGTGTGGCTTTTCTCAGCTTGCTAACCAACACCAGAGCTTTGCTCCGACACTGTGACACATCTATTAATCAAAACGACTTTCAAACTACAACAAAGATAGCAGATAATCCCTAGTCCCGCTTCATGTTGTATGTACACAGATTTGAATTACATCATGCAGAATTTATGATATGGAAGAATATAACCAACAATATTTCTGCTCTTTGTTTTGA